ACTACTACTACTACCGCTGCTGCTACTACTACTACTACTACTACTGCTACTACTTACTACTACTATTACTACTACTACTACTATTACTACTACTACTACTGCTACTACTACTACTACTACTAGTATTACTATTATTATTGAACTTATTATCACTACTACTACTATTCTATTATTACTACTATTACTGCTACTACTACTACTACTGCTACTACTACTACTACTACTACTACTACTACTACTACTACTACTACTACTACTAGTACTCTACTACGCGACCGCAACTACAACAACAACTACTACTACTACTACCACCACCACTACCACTACCACTACCACTACCACTACTACTACTACTACTACTACTACTTCTACTTATCGTAGTAGTAGTAGTAGTAGTAGTAGTAGTAGTAGTAGTAGTAGTAGTAGTAGTAGTCGTAGTAGTCGTAGTAGTAGTAGTAGTAGTAGTAGTAGTACTACTACTACTACTGCTACTCCCTCTCCCTTCTCCAAGTATATGCCTGGCGCTGCCGCTGCCGTGCCCTTTTGCGAGTCATTTTCTTTTTCCCACTCAATCTCCTCGTCCTTCTCCGCGTAGTGGTCCTCGCCCTCCTCCTCCTCGTCCTCCTCTTCCTCCTCTTCCTCCTCATCCTCATCCCTCTCCTCCTCCTCCTCGCTTGTCCTCGTCCTCGTCCTCTCAATTCCTTCCTTATCCTCATCATCCTGCTTCCTCGTCCTCGTCCTCGCCAACGCCCACGTCCACGTCCTCCGCATCCTCCTCCTCATCACTCCTCGTCCTCCTTCGCCACCGTCCACGTCTTCCTCCTCCTCCTCCTCCTCCTCCTCCTCTTCCTCCTCCTCCTTTCCTTCCTCCGTCCCCGTCCTCGTCGTCGCTATCCTCCTCCTCCTCCTCCTCCTCCTCCTCCTCCTCCTCCTCAGGCGCCTCTTCGTCGTGCCTTCGTCGCGGCCCCTGCTTTTCCGCCCTCACCCCGCCCCGCCCTCTGCCTGGGATAGCAACAGCTTCGGCCTCGTCTCGCCGCAGGCGCCGGCCTGCTGCACACGCTGCTTGGACGGAGAAGGGGGGGCATGGGGGGGGGGGGGGGGGCGACGGGCTGGAGGGGAGGGGACTGGAGGGGCAGTGGACGGCAGTGGGAGGAGAGGAGAGGTGGGGGGAAGGAGAGGTGATGGGAAGGGGGGGGTGGGAGGAGAGAGAGAGAGAGAGAGGGGGATAGGGGCAAGCTAGGCGAGCTCGTGCCATATCTGACATCCTACCCCTCCCACCCATCCCTCCGCATGGCGCTGATTCTTTCTCTATCCGCGGACGCGCGTCATGGTGGACCCGGAACTCCCAAATGGACCCCATCGTGTTATGCGCAATCGAAGATGGGAAGCTGCGTACATTGGAGCTGGCGGATGAGCAGGAACATCAGCAGGATGAAAAGAAAGATAATGAGAAAGGAGGAGGACGAGGAAGAATAGCAGCAACAGGAGCTGGAATAGAAGGAACGGAGAGGGCAGGATAATCACGGAAAGCGGAAGAGGGGAAAAGGAAGGGGGCGACAGCGATGAGGAAAGGCCCTGATCCAGAAAACGGGCCCGCGCTGTCGCACCAGTGCCACTCTGAACGACCGACGCAGAGCGCCGATCCTAACATGAGGCCCACGCTGCAGCGGCAACACCATTTTGAAGGACCGAAAACGACAGGGGCGTAAACACAACCGTAGGATTAGGTCGGGCCTGTCCCCTTACAGGGGGTTTTGGGCAACAAATAAACAATACTCAAAACATGCTCAAGAGATGCCCAAATATACTCAAAAAGTAGTCCCCAGACTATTTTTGACTATTTCTGACTATTTCCCCTGTGGAGGGACAGGCCCGACCTAATGCTAACATGAGGCCCACGCTGCAGCGGCAACACCATTTTGAAGGACCGAAGACGACAGGGGCGTAAGCACAACCGTAGGAGCGACCACATACCGACATCCTGCGCGTGCAAAACCCATCCGCGGAGCGGGGCTGGCTGCTCCCCGGCCGTCTTCGGGGGGGGAAGGGTGAGCAGTGCGCAGAGCAAACAGGTGTAGAGGAGGAGGAGGAGGAGGAGGAGGAGGAGGAGGAGGAGGAGGAGGAGGAGCAGGCTGAAGGGGAGCAAGCTGAGTGGCCGATGATAGGAGAGGCGCCCGCCTGCTGCGCGCTTCCTGGATGGAAGGGGAAGGGATGGGAGGGGAGGGAGGTGGGGCTGGAAGAGAGGGAGGAAGATTAGGGGCCTGGAAGTCGGCACCAGCACCAGCGCAGGGGGTCGCCTCCACTGGCGAAAGATGATCCTGGATGTTTGTGTTGGTGGTAGTGGTAACCTCTCGGCATCCAAGAAGCCCGATTCTTACCACCATCACCAGGATCAGGATCTTCCCTCGGTGGAGGCGAACGCCGATGCTGTCGCTGTTGATGCCAACCTCTAGGTCTCCGACGGGAGGGAACAGGGGCAGGAACGGAGAGGGAGAGGGATGGGGGGCGCGGACATCCTGAGCGAGCGACTTTCTGGGGATGGAGACTACAAGACTCGTCCAGCATTCGCCAGCCCAACGGGCCAGAGGCGTGTCAAGATCTCCTGTAGCTGTGTACTGTATTTCTACTTCGTGCGCGCGCTGAGCGGCCCCTGGTCCCCGCTCGAAAAATACTCCGGGCGGTCCCCGGCCGGTTCGGGTCAGAGGTCCCCGGCAGGGTCGGGTCGGGTGGGCGCCGCCCTCGAGGCCTTCCAAAGCCCCAAGAAGGGCCAAGAGGCTCCCAAGAGGCCCCCAAGATAGAACAAGAGGGCTCCGAGATGCCACAAGATCGCTCCAAGATGCCCAAGATTGCACCCAGACGCCCCAAGAGTCTTCCAAAAGCACTCCCAAGAGGGCCCCAAGAGGTGAAGTTCACTGATTTTCCTGAGGTTTTGGACAGGTTTGGGTGTTTCCCTCTTTTCGGCTTCCCGGCGCCTCAAGACGGCCCAAGAGGTCCCCAAGACCGCCCCAGGAGGGTCCAAGAGGGCCCCAAGAGGGCCCCAAGAGAGCCCCTAGACGCCCCAAGAGTGCTCCAGGACCGCCCAAGACGACTCCAAGACGGCCCAAGAAGGCCCCAAGAACGCCCCAAGAGAGGCCCCAGAGGGGGAACACGAAACAACATTTCGAGCCCTCGGCCATAAGCAGCCCCCAGGAGGTCCCCAGAGGTCCCTAAGAGGGCCCAAGAGGCCTCCAACTTGCGGTCAGGAGGCCGCCAAGAGGCCCCCAAGAGCCCCCAAAACGCTCCATGTTAAGACGTCCCCGAAAGCATCGGAGAACTCTCAAGAGCTTCCTGTGCACTGCCTCCCGGTGCGCGAAAATGGGCCGGCGGAATGAGCGAAGCGATTCAATCCATTGACGGTTCTTGTTTTCGGTGCTTGCGTAGCGGGCGCTACTTCAATATGCTGGCATGAGGTAGTCGGCCCAGACGCAGGGGTGTCCGAAATCCGGCAGTACCCTCACAGCATTGAAGAACGCGTTTTCTGATAATTGCCCGAAACATCGAACGCTTCGATGTTGAACAGCGATTCAATATATTTTTGACGAGGCTTGTAGGAGACGATCTGTGCACAGGAATCCCTGCGCTCAAGGCTTTCGGGGCTTGTGCGAAGATGGCGCGTGCCGCCCCCAGGAAAACTGCAGCGCCCGCGTTGTGCGATGCGATGCTTGACACGAGGGGTGGGGGAGGGAGACACCCACGTAGGCGAAACAAACGACTCAGATGAGCTGGCCCGAAGGCGCTTCGCCGTGCACCCACAGCTGACGCCGAAGCCGAAGCTGAAGTGCACAGAATGCTGGGAAGGTGCCCACCCTGCAGGTCTGGCTGGCAGCAGGTCGTTGAGCGGTGTTGCAGCCTCCCCTGGGCACGAAGAGGACGACGACGAGAAGGACGAGGCGCAGCACCGCTCCCCTCTCCTGCACCGTCAGCTGGGACGCGAGCACCAGGTGCGCCAGCGCGTCTCTGCATGCGCCGCCGCCAGGCGGCGCCTCGCCCCGCCCATCAGCGCGGGAGGCCTCGCCCCCCCCCCCCCCTCCCCCCCTCGTGCACCGCTGCAGCGGGCCTCCGTCCCTCGCTCCCCCCGCTCTCCCTCCCTGCCCCTCTCCTCCCGTCCTTCCCCTGGCCATCCCCCTCCGCTCCGCACCCCCCACGCTCCCCGCCCCGCCTCCTCCCTCCCCTTGCCCCGCTGGCCCCTCTGGCTCCGATCGCCCTCCTTGCCGCCGGCGCTCCTTGCCGCGGCCAGCACCTGCTGGCCCTGCTGGCCCCGCTGGCCCTTGCCTGGCCCTGACCGGCCGCGGGCCGCGGGCGGCTCGTTTCTGCACTCACTGACCCCCCGCTGGGCCCTGCTTGTTGCCGTCGCTGCTGGCTGCTGCTGGGGTCCGTGCGGCTCCACTGCGCGGCCCGACTGGCACCCCGCCTATCCGCTGTCTCTGCCAGCCCTCCACCGGCCCTTGCCGAGCCCCACCTTGCAGCCGCTGTCGGGGGCTGCTGAAGGTGTCCTTGGCCCAAGGTGCCCCCAGCCTTTGGCTCCATTTTGGGGTCCTCGAGGCCCTCTGGGCCTCGTGAGGGGTGATTTTGAGGCCGTGGGGGCCTGCTTGGACATCCTGGGGCCAGGGGTTCTTCTGGCAACACCCTGCACCAAGCCCCAGATGGCGTATGTCGTCCAGCAGCAGCAGCAACAGCGGCGGCGGCGGCGGCGGCGGCGGCGGCGGCGGCGGCGGCGGCGGCAGCAGCAGCAGCAGCAACGACAACAGCGTGGGAACCGATGCACTCGTCACGCCACGGCGCGGCATGGCGTGCCTGCTGCTGCAAGCCTCAAGCGTCGAACACATGCTGCTGGCGTCCCGCGCGCGTCGCCGGCATCACGTGCGTGCGCTCAACGTGCACCCAGTAAGAGGCACCGTGGAGCCGCCACCAGCGCAATCGCCGCCCTCCGGGCCGTCGCGCCCGAGGAGCGCCGCGAGGGTCCCGAGGCCTGGGTGCGGGGGCGGGCCCTCCTCCCCGTGCTGCTGCCTCGAGCGGAGCGTGGTCAACGAAAGTGGCCAAGGATGGACCGAGGAGGCAAGGATGCAAGGGCATCCTTCAGCGGGCTGACTGTACCTTTGTCGAGATGCCTCTTTCTCTGGTCTTCGGACCGCGGCCCGCCGTCTGTGCACGACGAGGGCGCTACCCCCCCTGGCGTTGCCCCTGGTGGTTTTCGGGCCGCAATTTGGCTCTCCTGCGGCCGTTCGGGACGATTCTGGCACTCCCGGAACGCCCTCGGCGAGGCGCAGCCGCTGGAAGGCACCCCGAGGCTGGAAGACCGCCGCGAGCCGTCGAAAACGCTCGAAAACCTCAAACCTTGAAACTTCGCCCTTCCCTGAGTCTATCCCCCCTCATCGTTGCCCCACACGCCACACGGCCGTTTTTTCACTGGTTCTGTTTGGCCGTTTTTTACTGGTCCTGACGCCGTTTTCTCATCGGCTCCGTCGACTGCTTTTCCGGTTCCAGCTCCGGGGTTCCAAAGGCAAGCTGATTAGGGCATCAATTGAATGATGTACCTTCTCTTGCACATTTGGTGCACTCTTAGAGAACACGAGAAGAACGGGGACACTGAGCCAGCGCTCCAGTAAGATGATCGACAGGCGCTTGGCCTCAGCAAGAGCCGCTAGCATGATGTACGCCTCTACATACCCTCTGACCTATGCCTGTGTCTCCGTTCTGGAGATCCGTCAATCCCCCCACCTGCTGATGCTGCTGCTCTTCCTTTTCCTGCTGCCTCTGGGGATGAGGGCGCGAAGGGGGGAGGCAGAGGTGGGAAAAGCAAAGAAATTACCGTCCTTCTTGTTAGAGGACGGGGTTTGTTCGACTGCAGCCAGGCTTTGCGTGAACTTGCGCCTAGCTGCGCCAGGTACGGCAGAAGCGTCTGGCATTCCAGATCCACGGAGGTGGGAGAGGGTGACCCCGCCTCTAAAAGCATACCTAGGGCTTGCCGAAAGGGGGGGAGGAGGAGGAGGAGGAGGAGGAGGAGGAGGAGGAGGAGGAGGAGGAGGAGGAGGAGGAGGAGGAGGAGGAGGAGGAGGAGGAGCAGCAGGACGAGGAGGAGGAGGAGGAGGAGGAGGAGGAGGAGGGAGGAGGAGGAGGAGGAGGGGGAGGAGCAGCAGGAGGAGGAGGAGGAAGGGGAGGGTGAGGAGGAGGGGACGCAGGTGGAGACGCAGGAGCAGGAGAAGAACCAGGAGCAGGAGGAGGAGAACGAGGAGGAGGATGAGGAGGAGGGGGAGGAAGAGGAGGAAGAGGAGGATGCTGATGCTGCTGATGATGCTGATGATGAGGAGAAGCAAGAGAAGGAGGAGGAGGAGGAGGAGGAGGAGGAGGAATAGGAAGAGGAACAGGAGGAGGAAGAGGAGGAGCAGGAGGTTGGGGAGGAGGAGCAGGAGCAGGAGAAGGAGGAGCATAATGATGGTGACGATGCTGATGCTGATGATGATGCTGATGATGTTGATGATGAGGATGCTGATGGTGTTGATGATGATGCTGATGATGAAACTGATGTCGATAATGATGATGCTGATGCTGATGATGATGCTGAGGATGTTGATGACGATGGTGACGCTGATGATGACGACGATGATGATGGTGATGATGATGCTGCTGCTGATGAGGATGCTGCTGATAATGATACTGATGATGATGATGATGATGATGAAGATGATGATGAAGATGAAGATGAAGATGAAGATGAAGATGAAGATGATGATGATGATGATGCTGATGCTGATGCTGATGATGATGATGATGATGATGATGATGATGATGATGATGATGATGACGAGGACGACAACGACGACGACGACGACGACGACGATGATGATGATGATGATGATGATGATGATGATGATGATGATGATGATGATGATGATGATGATGATGATGATGCTGGGGAGGATGAGGAGGATGAATATATGAGTAAGGAGGAGGAGGAACAGTAGGAGGAGGATGAGGAAGAGGAGGAGGAGGAGGAGGAGCAGGAAGAGGAGGAGCAGGAGAAGGGGCAGGATGATGATGATGATGATGATGATGATGATGATGATGATGATGATGATGATGGTGATGATGATGATGATGATGATGATGATGATGATGATGATGCTGAGGAGGAGGAGGAGGAGGAGGAGGAGGAGGAGAAGGAGTAGAAGAAGAAGGAGGAGCAGGACCAGGAGCAGGAGCAGGAGTAGGAAGAGCAGGAAGATGAGGTTGTTGTCGTGGCTGTTGTTGTTCAGGATGATGATGAAAATGATGACGCTGATGCTGATGCTGATGTCGCTGATGTCGCTGATGATGATGATGATGATGACGATGATGATGATGATGATGATGATGATGATGATGATGATGATGAAGAGGAGGAGGAGGAGGAGGAAGAGGAGGAAGAGGAGGAGGAGTAGGAGAAGCGGGAGGAGCAGGAAGAGAAATATGAGGAGGAGGGAGAAGGAGGAGGAGGAGGAGGGGAGGAGGATAGGGAGAAAAAGAAGAGAAAAGAGGAGGAGGAGGAGGAGGAGGAGGAGGAGAAGCAGCAGGAGCAGGAGCAGGATGATGATGATGAGGAGGAGGAGGATGACGAGCAGGATGATGAGGTGATGAAGATGAGGATGAGGAGGAGCAGGAGGAGGAGGAGGAGGAGGAGGAGGAGAGGAGGAGGAGGAGGAGGGGAGGAGGAGGGGGAGGAAGAGGAAGAGGAGGAGGAGGAGGAACATGAGCAGGAGCAGGAGCAGGAGGAGGACAACGAGGAGGAGGAGGACGAGCAGGATGATGAGGTTCATGATGATGATGCTGATGATGATGATGATGATGATGATGACGATGCTGATGCTGATGCTGATGCTGATGCTGATGCTGATGCTGATGATGATGATGATGATGATGATGATGATGCTGATGATGATGATGATGATGATATGATTGATGATGATGATGATGATGATGATGATGATGAGAGGGGAGGAGGAGGAGGAGGAGGAGGAGGAGGAGGAGGAGGAGGAGGAGGAGTTGGAGGAGGACGAGGAGGAGGAGGAGAAGGAGGAGGAGGGGGAGGAGGAGGGGGGCGGAGAGCAGCCATCGCCCTGCAACCCGAGGGGGGTCGGTGGCTCGCCCGATCTGCACGGGCAGCTCCTGCCTGTCAGGCCAGAGCCGCGTCGAGTCGGGAGATGGGTCCGATCGCTACAGGTGGAAGCCAGCTGCGAGGGTACGCAAGGCTCCCATGATTTGCTACCAAACACATCCTCCCGAGAACATGAGGCCCTCCGCTGGCCAAACCGATGAACACTCGAGGGCACCCTCCCCGGTGGTGCACACACACATCCACATCCAATGAACATGAAGAACAGTAGGGCACACGCAACGAACCGACCTCGATCTTATACCTTGGTCCGGCCGTACAGTGGAGGCCAGTCCACAAGAAACCTTCCACAAGAAGCCCAACCCTGAGACCCCAGGACGTCCATTGCTTTTCGGTGTGGAAACGTCACGCTTTCCATCGCAGAACCACCGACACCCAAGAAACCCAGGGCACCCTGGAGGCAAGCAAGGTGCTTTCTGGCGTGGGTCTCCGCTGTATCCGGTCGCGAGATGGACCCGGTCGCCAGCGAATCGTCCCGCATCGACTCGACGTCGGATGGCCGCGCCCGGCTCCGGCTGGCCGTGGCCGATGCCGAGGACTCGAGCCAAGACCGCATCGAATGGGAATCGCGGCCCCAGCCGGCGAGCCGCATCGGACCGTGGGCGGCCCTGCCCGTCCCCCGGAGAGCTCGCACCTGGCCGCTCTCCGCGCCTGCCCGCGGGCTGTCACGGGAGCCGGGCTGTGGACGCCCGAAACGGGTGCGGACAAGAACGGGCACGATGCCCGACAACAAATGTTGGCCCAAAGCAGCAGCGGCCGCTGCTGGGCAGGCGGCCTTCTGTCTCGAAGGGACACCGGCCGCGGCGGCGTGGACAGCGAGTCCTGTTCAAAATGAACCGGATCCGCTGTTGGGCATTGTCCGCATTCTTTCCGTGCCCATCCCGTTCGTGCAGGCAGGACGGGCGGCCCAGGCGGATCGTCGCGGATGGTAGAAGTCCTGGTCAGAAGAGGACTTGCCATCGCTCGGACGTCCATTCCCCGTGCATGTTTCGCTCTTGTGCGCTTCGTGCTCGTAAGATGGTCCAGGATGGCCTTCGCTGAGAGAAGATGCACACGTCCGAGCGATGCAAAGAAGAACCTTCGCCTGGGCGCACAATCCTCCCGCGGCGTGTCTCCTGCAAGGGGGGGGCGCAAGCTGGAGAGAGGGCCAAGGGCTGGGGGCGGGGGGAGGCGAGGGGCAGGGAGCGGGATAGGGAGGCGTATGGTGGAGTAGGACGGGAAAGGGGCGGGGAAGGTGGGGGAGGAAGTTGAGGGAGGGGGATGGGGGAATGGGAGGGAGGAGGGGGATGGTGGGAAGGGTGGGGGAGAGCTGGCTCTGGCCAGACCCCTCCAGAGCCTCGGGCCATTGCTTGTTCTCCTCGTGTTCTTGCTGCTACTGATACTGATGGTGGTGGTGCTGCTGCTGCTGATGATGGTGGTGGTGATGATGAGGATGATGATGATGATGATGATGATGCTGATGATGATGATGATGATGATTATAATGATGATGATCTTGATTGCGATGATGCCGATGTTATACAGGTGATGCAGCTGATGCTGCTGCTGCTGATGATGATGATGCGGATTAGGATTAGGATTATGATGCTGATGATGCTGATGATGCTGATCATGATGATGATGCTGCTGATGCTGATGATGCTGGTGCTGCTGCTGCTAATGATGCGGATGATGCTGATGATGAGTGATTGTGGTGATGCAGATGAAGATGAAAATTAATAAGAACATGCTGAGGATACTGATGATGATGTTGCTGATGATGATGGTGCTGCTGATGATGGGGAGGATGAGGATGAGAAGGCCCGTGTATGCGTATCCGA